TGAGCCTGAGTCTGCTTTACATCCATCTGATTATGTATGTTTTTGTGCAAAATATCCATGACTGCACTTCTTTACAAAGCCATAAATCATTTAAATCAGCTGAAGTTAAACATAAACTCAGACAGACCTTAACTTTACATAATTCTGCATAATCCTGATCAATTCAATGTTGTTTGTTTTCGCCATAATTCACAACAGCAGTCGACTCTGAGGGCTTTGCAAAAATGTCAATTCGTCAACAACAGATTTGAAGAATTAGAACACATGAGATGCAAGTATTTGTCCATAAAAGTCCTGGATCACTGCCAGTAGATCCTCCTGCGCCGAGGGACAACAAATGATCGGTTTCATAGGTCAGTCGGTTTATCGTAGGTATTAGATATGGCTCAATATTCCCTAAATGAATTTAGATTTTATGGTGCCACATACACTTTCAAAACCTCCAGTTAGACCGGTCCTAGTACACAGTATTGTACCTGTAGGGAAATTTGTCCTCTGTATTTTGACCCATTCTTCCATCAAATATCCGGCTTGTTTAGAATACATTTTGACAGAAGATCTTCATAAATAAGCCTTTCCATCATTGTTTATGTATTTATTTAGTTTTATTATGACCCTGCACAATACTTATTTTTACATATATCAATATAACTGACGAATAAACGTGGTCCTGGTTTGAAAAGGGGCCGAGGTTTACTAAAAATGTTGTAAAAATCCACCATCTAACCAAGTGAGATACCAACTAACCCTTGTGATTACATTACCCCCTAGCAAAAATAAAACCATATAAAAGTAAATAAAGAAAAAGAACTGTGCTTATATGGTTCATGGTTGTTGAAGTTGTCATTAAAAGTCCTTGATACACTGGATGTGATTTCCCATAACTTAATAAACAGACCTTGACCTCATCTTTTCTCTCGCTTATTCCCTTAAACCAGGTCAACGATGTGGTCACCGCGGGGCTGGTGTCTACTGTACTTGTCTATCTCCGAACAAGAGCTGCCAGAGTGCATCATGGGAAGGCCAATGTTAATGACGAGAGCGTTCTGAGAGGACGTGCGGTAAACAGAACACTTGTGATGATAAAAGGGATTGAAGGATGATCGAGTGTCGTAAAGGCAGAACACATGATTTGATCTGTTCAAGCACGTCGCTGGACAATGAGCTCTAGAATTTCCCATTTGCATATTAAATGTCGTTCATTTATGCGGTGTGAGGACTTGGAAGTGTTGACCTTGTTCTAACTCATTATGTTTTTTAAATGGCAGAAACTTCATTGACCTTACATGTTTTGGAAAGAGGAAAGATGGGTACCAAGGCTCATAAGGTTAATCCAGACCTGGGCAAAGTGCAGCCCGGGGGCTACATGCGGCCTGATTCACATGTCCATTTGGCCCCTGGACCCTTCTCAGCTCAATACTCATTAGACTAATAATTAAGACATGTATCTTTATATGTGGCCTGTTATACATTTATTCTGTTCTCATGAATGAACCCAACATGTTATTGGTATTAATTTGCCCTAAACTAAATTACCACATAACACATGGTATTTTCATTTGTGTTCGATAAAAAAACTAAATATCCAAAATGTTCAAATTTGACGACTGAAGTGGGTTTTTGCATCATCAAAAACTAAAATTAACCACATGAAATTGGGTCCGGCCCTCCACAATAAGGCGATATCCCAATGTGGCCCTCCGAAGAAAATGTTTGCCCACTGCTGGGTTAATCTAATGAGACAGACACTGTTTCAGTCCTGTAATGGTATGATGTCACCACTATGACATCACGCTCAGAGCAGTTTTTTACCCATAAATTAGTTTTAGAATTTTCTCAAGTTAAATCACATTTCGAAAACATAGATCTTTATTCTTGTTAATACTGATATTTAACCACAGTTGAACCTGGACAAAATCTCACACAACAAACGGACATAGTTAGGCACTCTTTTTACTTGTCACCCAGTCCAAGGAGAAAATGTCTTGACAGAAACAGAGCACACAGCTCAGGCTCTCTCAGGACAAGTCTGAAGCTCAAACAGCCTGTAAGCTCCTTTTGATGGTAAAAGACACACCTTCATATGCAGATAGGAAAGGAAGTACCAACACAACAAAAGGCACATCATATTAGCGTATACAAAGCCTGGTTCCTCCTGGTACCTAACATACATGTCCCAGAATTCCAAAGCCAAATTGAATTACAAGACAACCTTTCAGTATCTAGCCACATATAGGAATTATACGAATTATAACTTAAACAATATTCAAACTACAATTCTGTTGACATTTTTGACTGTTGATTATTGCAGTTTCAATCCAATCCAATCCACTTTATTTATATAGCACATTTCATAAACACAGTTTCCAAAGTGCTGCACAATAAAATCAAAAACAGAGTAAAACAGTAAAATACAAAATACAATATAAAAAAAAACGTGTGTGCAAATATGTATGAATATAAAAAGAACAATAAAAAGATAAAATAAAATGAAAATAAAAAGACCATACAACTCACGCAGTTTGCTTTGTGTGCCTTTGTGTCCATGCCCTGTACTGTTTTGTTTTTTTTTTGTTTGCGATAACATTTGATTATTTTGATTTTGGAGGTGTAGGTGCTCATAAACTTCTTGCTTCAGGTCAGCAGAATGAATACTGTTCAGATAAACACACAAAGAAACATTCTTTACAACCGCATGGCTGTGTTTGCTGCCAGTCATTTTCAAATTTTGAAAAAAGAACAAAAACAATTCAACGTCTCCCCCTGGTGGTGGCATAGGGAGTTACAGACAGAAAGCATTTATACCCTTCATACTTGTTTCACTAGTTGGATTCAATTTAGTGCATTTTTTTATGTAACCTTAAATTACGACAGTAGTTATCTCAGAGATCTTTACAAAGTTGTCCAGTCGCCAACACAGATCTGAGAATCAAAAAGTTTAAACACAGGAAATGCAACGATTTTTATTCAAACACATAAAGTCGTTGGTCCATACGGGGCAGATGATCATTGTCCACGAATGTTTTTGTATGTTCATAAATATCCTGGATCATCACCACTGACCTCTCCTGCAAGTTGTATTATAATATTAGTTTAGTCTAGACAGATGACTGAGGCTCTCAAAAGTTGCAAAAAACTTTAAAAGCCTTTATTACACATGGCAAAAGAGGTTAAAATGAATTTATATGCGTAATAAAGGCTTTTCAAGATTTTTGCAACTTTTGAGTGCCTCAGTCTTTCGTTAGAACTTTCAACATTGGTCCCATTTACTGTTTTCAAAAACTTACCTAGTCTCTTTACCATAGTTTATGGCCAAAAACAATGCATACTTTTTCTTTATAACTGTCCAATAATGGTAAACATGCGTGGGGAGGCCCTGTACAGCAGCCGGCCGTACAGTGGATGCCTCTCTGGGGGCCTTAACAGCAAATCGCAGCTGATAAAAGGCAGATGTCTTTTCACCGTTTAGCATCCGCCGCCGTCATAACTCCAAGCTCGCCGCGTGGCTTAGTCTCACATGTGCTTTGGGAGGATTTATGTGATGGAAAAAACAGTTGAGGAAAAGACAAAACTCCAATTTTTCCTGGCTCACGACACACCGCTGCTCTCCACATTGGAATCGTGAGGTGCTGTGTGGCTCAAATCATGTTGCACAAATAAGTATGATTGCGTCGATATCTGAGGAAATGGAATAATGGTACAAAGTTATGGTTCGCGGGAGACGGAAATAAGTTGTGTGACTGCGCTGCCAGCTTGTTTGTTCTCTGTTCTTTCCTTCGCTGGAGTCAAAAGCTTGTGACAGGGGAAAATCTCACAGCCCATGTTTGTCGGAATAATGCCTGATGTTATGGAATACAAGCTCGTATAGGTCAATGTGACAGGCCGCTGATCTCATTCTGTGACTGTAATTTGTTTAAGTCGATTTTTTTTCTTGTCCAAAATAAACATTGAAGGCTTGCCATTATGTTGAATTTCCTAAAAAGCATATGGTCTATTGTGTAGCCAGGGTTTTTCCCACAGTTGTAATGTTGTTGAAGAGCATTACTTAAGATGGATGTTGTGAGTTTATTGTGTCGTTTTCATTCGTTTTCTTTTTAGATTCTACATATGCAACACAATAAGGCACTTTTATCTTTCATTTGTTATATCCTTTTACCCCAACTCTCTTCCCCTAGTGTTAAAATAAATAGTTTGTGAGACTTTTTTGATTTCAAACTTGCAGAAGACAAATTCCCATATCTCCACACTAATACAGATCCCAACCCACCTTCACTCATCCAACACACACAAAAGATTGAGATTGAGATTAAGATTAAGAGATCCTTTATTCATCCAACAGTGGGGACATTTTAGAATACGATACATTTAATCAACATACAGAATACAGGTTATACAGTATAAAACAACACCTGATGATCCACTGCCAATAGTCATGGACATGGCTATTTTCAACATCTAAGGAACTACTAACAAGCACTTTCCCATGTGGGTTAAGCCTAGGGTTAGAGTTCAGGATACACTAATTATAACTTAATTAGCTGTTAATTTCTGAGGGATAATCTAAAGCGTTACCATTCCAAACATATCTGCCATACCTACATGTGTAAGCCAGATCTTCTCAGGGCAGGGCCTGGTTAGTACTGTGATGGGAGACCTCTGGGACCACCAGGTGCCTCAGTGGGGCGGCTTCACCCACTTTGCCTAGAATGAGTCTGGTGTGTGCGTGAATGGTTGGTGGAGTCGGTGGGGCAGATGGCACATACTGGTTGCCTTGCTTCTGTCAGTTTTCCCCGGGGCAGTTGTGGCTACAGTAGTAGTTTATCACAAACGTGTCTGGAGTGAAGGAATAAAGAAGCAATTTCTATTGTCCTGAAAAGTGCGATATAAAACTGATGCATTTCTATTACTATTATATTTTTATTCCATAATCTTGTAAAATTATGCTATTTTTCCCCCTATAACACTTTGTCTAATCCATATTTTTTCTCTCATTCCTCTAGGTTCATCCTGGTTTTCAGCTGCCTGGTTCTGTCCGTCTTCTCCACAATTCCGGCCCACCAGGACACCTCCTCCTACTCGCTGCTCATTCTGGTAAGAAACTGGACATCACCGCGGCCAAAACCACTTCCTCCAGAACCGAGCCCATGTATTTCCAATCGAGGCACTTTGGACAATATTCAGACCAGGGTAGTTATCCGTTGTTTCAGCTCATTGTAAGTCATTAACTGAAATGTCAAACCTGAGAGTCTCATAGGAGCCAAAATGTAGCATTAAATACACAATAGAAATTAATGTGAGTGTGAATCAGTCATAGCCCAGTGAGTGGCCAGAGCGTATGTCCAGGATAAGCGGTGGAAAGTAGATGAAAGAAGCCAACCAGATGTCCGAAAGGTCCTGGGAAAGTTTTAATATTCTCAACTCTTATTATTGAATGAATACGAATGCATTTTTCCACTAAAAAAACTGGGATCCATGCAATGCTTATGTTACGTGGTGAAAACAGAAGAAGGACTCAACCTGTAAGACTGACAAAAGGATAAAGATTTCATAAACAAAACACAAAAATAACAAAATACAGGATATAACAGAACTCCAAACTTAAAATCAAGACCAAGACGAAACAGGGATAAGAACGTAATGGACCAACAACAAGACGAGAGGAGCTCAGGGTTTGAACACACACAGGGACAAAGAACCAATATATCAATATAAAAACCAGGTAAAAGTGATCTAAAAGTCCACACCATGACGGCTCACATGGGAACTCTACGATCTGGGGTAGGAAATTCTATAAAAATGCCTTTATATCGATCAAGCTGGTTTTTTGATTTTTGATTTTTTTGGAAGAAGCAAACACTTAAAGCTGGGGTACGTCACTTTCAAACCACAAAATAATAATCTTATAAAAATCCATCTATCTGTTTTTCACATGCATGTATTTTTGGTTTTGTCTCATCTAGAGACCTGCTTTTTCAGGCAAAAAAGTGAAAAAAGAGAGGAAAGCCCTCAGCCAATCAGCTCTCAGCCCCAAGTGTCAATTAGTGACTCCCAGGGCTCTTTCAAGTATGCCAAAGATAACATGTTATGTAAAAAAATTAAAATAAATAAAGAGAATGTTTTGCTCACAACATTTTGCTTGTATAACACTCTTTCTATTGGGACAAAAGAAATGTACTATTGAGAAAAAGTTAGGTACCCCAGCTTTGATTTGATAAATAAATTGTGAATATTTTATCTTCGTGGAAGGTGACTGAAGAGCAGTAAAGACACATTCTGTCTGCTCGGGCTGAGTTCACAGAGTTTAGAAAAATGCTTTCACTTTTCTCACTCAAGACTGAGTGAGAAAATTTCTTTCAATTTTTTGGTAAAGTCCAAGCTCACATTCTGCTATCATTATGTTGAAACTAGCATTGTTGCCATAGTGATACACATTTTTTTGTCCATCCATGCATGGCTTAATATGACCAAGTGTAAGTTTATGTTTAAAAAATACATAAAAAGTGTCCCTAACATCTTCTTATAATAAAAATATAAAAACAGAGCCTGTGCGTGCACTTAGGCTTTTTTCCGTTCTTCTCTTTGTACAACGTGGTTATTTACACACAGATTGTTCTTTTACAGATACAAATGTGAAATTACACACACACAAATCTGTTTACGCACGCACACAGTCCAAGTTACACTTGCGAATCTGCGAAGGCAGGACTGCGTCAAAAGATTTGTGTGTAAAAAAAAAACTTGTGTGTAAAACGTACTTTTTTTTTCTTTACACCCAGGCTTAAAGAATATGCATCTGAAGGATTGTATCTTCGCTCTTTATAATGTTTGATTTTTTAGTACCTTGTATGATTGTTTCCATCTGGTTTTGTTAAGCACTTCGATTTGCCTTGTGTTTGAACAGTGCTATACAATTAAACTTAAAAATTAAACACATATTTTAGTACAAACAATTTAGGAACACCATTTGATACCAATATACAGTGCCTTGCGAAAGTATTCGTATTGAACCTTTCAACATTTGGCCACATTTCAGGCTTGAAACATAAAGATATACAAATTTAATTTTTTGTCAAGAATCAACAACAAGTGGGACACAATCGTGAAGTGGAACGAAATTTATTGGATAATTTAAACTTTTTTAACAATTAAAAAACTGAAAAGTGGGGCGTGCAATATTATTCGGCCCCCTTGCGCTAATACTTTGTAGCGCCACCTTTTGCTGCAATTACAGCTGCAAGTCGCTTGGGGTATGTCTCTATCAGTTTTGCACATCGAGAGACTGGAATTCTTGCCCATTCTTCCTTGCAAAACAGCTCGAGCTCAGTGAGGTTGGATGGAGAGCGTTTGTGAACAGCAGTCTTCAGCTCTTTCCACAGAGTCTCGATTGGATTCAGGTCTGGACTTGGACTTGGCCATTCTAACACCTGGATACGTCTATTTGTGAACCATTCCATTGTAGATTTGGCTTTATGTTTTGGATCATTGTCCTGTTTGAAGATAAATCTCCGTCCCAGTCTCAGGTCTTTTGCAGACTCCAACAGGTTTTCTTCCAGATTGGTCCTGTATTTGGCGCCATCCATCTTCCCATCAATTTTAGCCATCTTCCCTGTCCCTGCTGAAGAAAAGCAGGCCCAAACCATGATGCTGCCACCACCATGTTTGACAGTGGGGATGGTGCGTTCAGGGTGATGAGCTGTGTTGCTTTTACGCCAAACATATCCTTTTGCATTGTGACCAAAAAGTTACATTTTAGTTTCATCTGACCAGAGCACCTTCTTCCACATGTTTGGTGTGTCTCCCAGGTGGCTTGTGGCAAACTTTAAACAAGACTTTTTATGGATATCTTTGAGAAATGGCTTTCTTCTTGCCACTCTTCCATAAAGGCCAGATTTGTGCAGTGCACGACTGATTGTTGTCCTATGGACAGACTCTCCCACCTCAGCTGTAGTTATCTGCAGTTCATCCAGAGTGATCATGGGCCTCTTGGCTGCATCTCTGATCAGTCTTCTCCTTGTTTGAGATGAAAGTTTGGAGGGACGGCCGGGTCTTTTGCAGTGGTCTGATACTCCTTCCATTTCAATATAATTGCTTGCACAGTGCTCCTTGAGATGTTTAAAGCTTGGGAAATCTTTTTGTATCCAAATCCGGCTTTAAACTTCTCCACAACAGTATCTCGGACCTGCCTGGTGTGTTCCTTTGTCTTCATGGTTCTCTCTGCGCTTTAAACAGAACCCTGAGACTATCAAAGAGCAGGTGCATTTATACGGAGACTTGATTACACACAGGTGCATTCTATTTATCATCGTCAGTCATTTAGGACAACATTGGATCATTCAAAGATCCTCACTGAACTTCTGGAGGTAGTTTGCTGCACTGAAAGTAAAGGGGCCGAATAATATTGCACGCCCCACTTTTCAGTTTTTTTATTTGTTAAAAAAGTTTAAATTATCCAATAAATTTCGTTCCACTTCACGATTGTGTCCCACTTGTTGTTGATTCATGACAATTTTTTTTAAGGGGGCCGAATACTTTCGCAAGGCACTGTAGTATTTTTCATCATCGCAAAACTGATATTATTCCAATAGTTTTCAGTTTCATTCAGAACTGGTACACCAAAACCGCTCAAAAGTTGGACTCTACTGGTCTCAAAACACACATAATACAAACCAGGGATGTCAAAGTCAAATACATCAGAGGCCAAAAAAACAAATTTGCTACATACCAAGGGCCGGACTGGTTCAATGTTTATTAAAACATTCAACAAACTTACCATTGCCCTTTGCCTTTCCACAGGAGTTTGTGATGATCGTGGTCTTCGGCCTGGAGTACATCATCCGTATTTGGTCGGCAGGATGCTGCTGTCGTTACCGCGGATTGCCGGGCCGCCTCCGCTTCGCCCGGAAACCTTTCTGCGTCATTGGTGAGCTTTATATTCAGCAAAACAACTCCAGATCTGAAAGGAGAAAAATGTTACATGTATAACTGTAAATGAAACTTAATAGACACTTTCAATGGACTGATCATTCTGAGCAAAGCCTGAACTCATTATAATCAACGGAAATAGAGACGTGTGATTGGACAGTCCTCAAATGTAACTACAAATGTTCTATATTTAAATGAATTGTATTAGGGGGGAATGGTTGTTGTGGTTCTTTTGAAAAACATGGTAAATACAGCCAACTTGTCTTTCGAAAGAACCACAAAAAAACATTTGAACGACAAAATTAAGCTTTTTGAATGTATGGGGGATAGAGATGATCCAGAATAAGGTAGGAAGAAGGCTTTAATCAAGTACATTTTAAAATCTTGATGCAAATATACAGTATGTTTTCTGAGCTTCCAACCATATATGTGTGAAATGATACAAAATTATATTAATAAATAGTAAAAAAAAAAATAATTTTAAGTTCCACATTTTTCATCCAAATTTGAGCTGTAGTAAAAAAACTGCCCAGAAAATCACTATCTGCATCATAAATGGTCTCATACTTATTGCCATCAAGAAACAGACACTTTAAAGAACATGTTTGTAATTATAATTTCATAATTGGCCACCTAAGTTTTATTGTCCTCCCAGGCTTGACTGTCAACGTTCCTTTGGAGACATTAAAGATTTCATATTCTTTCATTACATGTGAGAATTTGCTTGTCATACAAAAGTCATTTTTGCTCGTCCCATTGGCAACAGAAGACAAAAAATCTCTGAAAATCAAAACACAATTCATTTTAAATTCAATGTATTTTTTGTATAAACGACTGTATAAAGTTGTCGATTCATCAACAACAAATCAAAGTGTCCATAGAATTCAAACCCAGGAAATGCAATCATAACACACACATTGGAGCCATTGGACCATAGGGAGCGGGATATTCATAACATTTCACAAAAATCCTTAAATGTCCTGGATCATCACTGTCTTTAGACCCTCCTGCATCGATAGTAACACACTACTTATCACGCTGTAGTATTGTCCCTTGTATGACTTCAATTTCAGGATAGTGGTCAAAAACTAGTCCAGTGTATGTTTTTCACTGAATAGAAATCCTGCTTCATTCTATATTACAGTATTGGCAACGAATGTCAAAAAATACCCTGAAAAATATCAATCATATTCAATTTATTTTAGTGCACCCCTAAATCATACCAGCAGTCGTCCTGGAGGACTTTACAAAGTTGTCGGTTCACCAACAACAGATCAAAGAGTCCAAAGAATTCAAACACACAGAGAATCCATTGGTCCTATAGCTATGCACTGCTTGTTAGCTCGAAAGCAAAGTATTGTCCCTTGTATGACTTGTACCACCATTTTATTACCTTCTTCACAGGGCAACGCCGTCTCAATTTCATGATAATCACTCAAAAATGCATAAATCACACTAAAAAACCTGAAAGTAAAACAACAATCCCACGGTCAAAAACTGAAAAAACAAAAAGCCAAATTTGCATGCGTCATTCCCATTCTCCAGTCCAGTCCAGTCCAGTCAAGTCCAGTCCAGTTCAGCCTCTGGGCACATAAACTATTGTATGTTTTTAAATCCTCCTTTATTCTATATTGCAGGATTGGTTTGTTATGATTGATCTGTTTTGAAGCCCCTATGACCGCTGCACTTCAGTTGCCCTCTGCCTTTTTGCGCATGCTTGTCTTCTCACTCAATGCAATTTGATTTTGGACGTAAGCGCGGTCGGCTCTCTCCTGTCATTTCCAGTTGTGGTCGGCGCTCATAAGAACACAGAGCATTTTTATAATTAAGTTGTTTTAGCGGCCTTTGATTTCTTTTCCACTGTTTAGACATGGATCTTGTCTGTTCCTTTGTGGAAACTGCTGCGGCGTGTTTTTTGTGAGGTAAACTGCTTGCGTTCGGTCCCACGCACACTCCCACATCAATCGCTGTCAGGGGTTTCGTTTGAGAAGAAAAAAGGTGAACAAGGAAAATTCTACCAAAAGCTTTTGAGCAGATTTGAGGTTTCCGACTTCTCTGAGGGCAGCCGCGTTCGAGACATTTCTCTATCAGGTCTCGGTGCGTGGTTTAGTGGAGATGTAAGAATAAGACCATAGGGTAATAATGCTGTACACTAGTCAAAATCAAAAAGTACAACTTGAATTAGGTACATTTGGGTTAGAATGGGTCCAACTATTTCTTGGTAGTAACGAGTCATATTTTCCCCAGAGCTGTGGTCAAAATCAAAATCTGGACTTGGTCATTACTAAAAAAAGGGCTTCAGCAGGACATGGGTCATTCAGTTCATGAGAATATTCAAACTCAAAAGTATCCAATGATCAAGTTGGATAAACGACACATTCACATAAACTTTAAAAAGACATTGGTTGAAAAACTACTAATCTAATTGGTTGAGCTGATATTGGTCAGAAAACAATTTTTGCATCCGTGTGTGGCTTCTCAGCAATAAAATTCTGGGTTTGAATCCCGGTCGGAACAGGGTCTTTCTGAGTGGAGTTTACATGTTTTTCCCAGTTGGGGCGGGTCCCGGCTCAAAAGTGGCCAAAATGACGTGCGCTGACATGCTTGCAATACCACCCCGGGCCGATGGGGTGGACCCAGAAGAAGAATTAGCCAATGCTAACATATAGCTTCTTCTTACGGTCGGCACTAGATCATATACGGATTCGGGACAAAACCGGAAGTAACAATCCTACTTTCGAATTAGTTTTAGACTAAAAAGTCCTTAAGTGGTGACTGGTTAAGTTTTAGGCGTCTGATTAAGATGGTTAAGGTTAGGGTTAAGGCTGGGTTGGGGTTATTTTATGAGAATGGCTGGTTAAGCTTAGGCATGAATAGGTAGTTTGTTGTATTTACTTCCGCTGCCGTCCCTATTCTGTCTATGATCTAGTGCTGACCATCTCCTTACCTCTCGAAAACGTCTTTACAGGATGATCCAAAAGTTGGCTCTTGGCCCAAAGCTCCGTTCCACATGTGTGTCAATGCTGAGGGGGGTGAATTTTTTTGGTCCACTCTAGTTTACTTGCTGTGAATTTTTGAAGTCTCTCGTTCAAATGAATGGAGTTGCGCTGGCTGACGCATGCGCAGATGCGTTTTTTCACAATTTTCTTGTGGGCGGGACCACTCGCGGCCATTTTGGATAGCTCCAGTAGAGCAAATTTTTTGGCCCATTAGTTAGAACGGCAGAGATAGGCGTGACTACGTCCGTTAATATTTACAGTCTATGGTTTTTCCTGTGTCTGCGTAGGTTTCCTCTGAGTGCTTCAGTTCCCTCTACCACTAACATGTCTGTCATGCACCTCCTGTTCAGAGACCTTGCTCCCATCTCTGTGTGGAGGGAGAGACAAATGCACAAATCCACAACTTGTAAAACATCTGTGAAAGGCGCTATATAAATAACTATTACTTACTTACTTACTTACATGAAAGAAAGCCTGATCAGGACCTGGTTATAGCGTGATGGGAGACCAGGTGCCAGAGTGGGGCGGCTGTGGCTGTAAAGCATTCATTTTCCTATGGTATGTGTGTGTGTGCGTTTATCGGTTGGACACACAACTACCAACTAGATTGGTTGCAACAAGTTTTGAGAATTAATTTATGATTCTGGAAAAATTTGAAAAAAAAAACAGAAAAATATACTTCTGAAGCTAAGCAGGGCAGGGCCTGGTTAGTACTGTGATGGGAGACCTTTGGGAACACCGGGTGCCACAGTGGGGCAACAGCGGCTGAAAAGTGCTAAACTTTTGTTGTGGCCTTAGGCAAGACACTTCACCCACATTGCCTAGAATGATTCTGGTGTGTGTGTTAATGGTGGTGGGTGGGGTCGATGGCAGACATTGGTTGCCTCACATCTGCCAGTGTGCCCCAGGGCAGGGAAGACTTACAGTAGGTGTGATTCCTGTGGACTCATCAATCATGAGAAAAGTAAACTTCCCGAGAGGGAAAAATAATGGAGATTCCAATTCTACAGTCCCGTCCAATGACAACATGAACCAAGTACATGAAGTACACATATAATTATAAAGAGCACTTCTACTACTTCTCCTCTAAATCTGGCATATTAATTCCCTCCTTTTTATTCCCATACACGTTCAAGTTTAATATATCAATTTGAGTAATTTCCTTTCACCATCAGTCCCCATTCATAAAACTTGCTTCTCATTACTCTGTCTACATGCTCCACAGCTAATAAACAAATCAACACATTATGAAGGCGCTAGACATAAATTACATTTCGCTCCGAGGGTCATTTCTCAACAAAATAAAATGTTTTTTGGAGATCAGACTGTTTGCTCCAGTTGTTAATATGTTGAGATAATCAGGACTCTTAAGGTGCCCCGCTATCACTCCTAGACTATGGCTCTTTCCTTTTGTAATTCAGATAAGGACTCCGTTGAAAAAGAGATTCTTAATCTGAATGGGACTCGCCTGGTTAAATAAAGGTTAAATACAAAAAATAAAGAATAGGGTCATTGTAATCTTTCCAATTTACCAGAGACCAAATTACGTTCTCTTGGCATCAGATGGAGAGCTCGGTGGTTATTGCGTTCTCAAATTTGAACAATCGTTGTGAATTATTATATTTGGAGGATGGAGCCTGGTTGTGGAGACTTCGGTGTGAAGTGGGAATCCTTGGGCAAAAATAAAACGTGTCAAGTGTGCGTCATTTCAGCCCGGAAGAGGATGCCAAATGAGCTGCTAATGAGAAAGGGTTTGGAGTGTGTTGTGTGTGAGATGTTGACTAAATTTAGGTATTTAGATGAGATTACTGCGAGGACTCGTGCTACAAATTAGCAGACGGTATTAAAGCTTTCCAAATTAGATCCGCTGTTTGGTCTGGTTCAACAGACCAAACAGTGGTGAGAGCGGGAAGAAAATTATATATATATAAGTTTAAGGTGGAAATTGAAAGTGTGGGACATTCTCGAGATGCCTCTATAACAATAACATTATTTAATT